AAGGAGCAAAGTTCAGCTTACATGTGAAGGAATGAGAGCCCAGCTTACAAGTTTTTTTATACGAGCCTCCAACGCACATTTTGGCCGCACAAAATGACAGCGGCGAGGCGAACGAATCGCTTCTTGTGGTAGAGTATTAACAGTAGCTTTACTTATTTAACTCTTATACCTTGATCAGCTACTGGCGAGGGAGGCATTGTATTATAACTTGTATGACTAATGCTTGTTATAACAGTTTTTATGTACCTGTTTCTTGATGATACCATTGGCGAAATAAAAATTGCTGCGATTAATCAAAAGATTGTCATCAGCATTGATCTACGCATTCTGTTGAGAACAGGGCTTTCTTCAAACGCCCTCATTGTTCGCTAGCTCTATTATTTGCTATAGCGACTCTATATATGAGGGTAAAATTGTACGAAGTACGTGTGTGCTATCAGGGAACCATGGCTGTGTAGAGAACAAAATTGTTTTATATGTATGCAATCATTACGAGTGCCTTGCGTTTAATAATTAATAATCTTCCAAATAATTAATATTTAATTCTCTCTCATTTAATTCATTACATTTTTTTCTGCCATATGAAGCTCGTTCTTTTCCAGTTTGTAATTGTACAAAGAATTTTCCACTTTTTTCAGCTCTTAGATCAAATTGTCCATCCTTTTATGTATGCACGTCAAGTCTGCAAACTGCTCTTCTGGCGGGCAGACAAGACTCTTAGTTCAAAAATTCTGGCAACAAGACAAGGCTGTTGGTTTAAAACACTGCAGCAAACACTGTTGGTTGTAGATGCTGTATAGTATAAATGTACATATTTGCTTCTGCGGTAAAAAGATAAGGCTGTTGGTTTAAAACACGAATATGCATATTTATACATATTGTATAATGTAAATATACATATTTTCTTCTGGCAAGAAGACGAGGCTGTTGGTCCAAAACACGAATATTTAACGAAGGCTAATCCTGAGACTACGGCTATAAAGTGCGGCTGCGAGCTCTAACACTGTCCGTTGAGACCGACGCTGGCGTCTTGCAAAAACAGAATTTTCCTACGGCTTCGCTATTGCTTTTCTTACTGTAGATATTTTAACTCCTAGTTTATTATTAACTTGAGGTGCTCTGCTTTTCGCGGCGTATTAAGATGATCTATGGCAGAAAACTCCTAATATGCTGGTCAGTATAGGCGGTAGAACCAATCCAGTTGTCACTGGGAACAAGATAGCGTTTCAGATCTGCACTGCATTCGTTCTCTTGTAGAGACATCACAAAAACTAGTCCTATATCCACACAAGCTGCGTCACAGTGCCAAACCTTTCTGAGACTAGAGAGACATTCATGTGACTTGGTCTACCAGGAATCATGTAATACTCAAGTTTACAGGACCCATTGATATTCAAATTAATCACGTCTGTCCCCACTTCGTGATCAGGCTTAGCGAATAAAGCTTTTTGCCCTTGATCCCCATGATGAATATTTCAAGCCAGCAGCTGCCCTGTGTGCACGAGTTGAGTAAACATCAGTCGATGTTTTCGATAGCTGCATAAGAAACTTGAATGAAATTAAGAGACCAGATAAAAATTATGTAATCATGATTGGTCACGTTTTATGTATATTTGGTTATAAGTATGTCGAAATAGAATGCATGTATATCTATGTAATCGTTAATTCTGAGCAAATGGATGCGATTTATGTATTTCTTCACCGTCATGTTCATTGAGATACAGTAGTAGTGTTTATTTATAACGAAACCACATATTATCGATTAGGTGCCAGACTATAGCACAGCTAAAAATATCGTTATGAGCAAGAACTGCCAGCGTTAGTTCGATCAGCTTTTTGTTAGCTAAGAATAGCCGCTTTAATGTCGAACTACTTTCATGACTTCAGATTGAATACTCTTCGATTTGGACGTATTATCTTCATATTAATAGACTCCCTGATGTAATTTTCATGAGCTTTGTATTCAGCTATCTTAAGAATCAAGGATACCTGCGCAGCCTTCGGTATTCCGAGGAGCGGCCATCGTGGACTTTCCAGTGCGGGCCGTTGAGATGCCTCTTTAGGGTCTTAGATATTATTATTAAAACATGATTTGGGGCCTTTTTAACGTAAGCATTAAAAGTAACCGTTCCAATTATGCATAAAACGTTTTTATTCTCATCACCATGTTTGTGAATTATGAAGAAGAGTTTTTTCACGCGATATACGATTCAGAAGATTGAGGTACATCGAAGTGCCTCGCTCACTACATCGTCTTAATTATGACGATGACGTTAATTTTACTAGTACTGCACATATTTGCAGTTCAACTTGCCTAATCATTGTTATGACATATAAGGTGAGAGACAATCTTTTCTGACAAATTTAAATTAAATACATGTGCTGTTTCATGCGCATCACTAAAAAGGGCTTGTTGCAATGCTCAACGCTCTCTGCTCGTCTTGTGTTGTAGTATTGTTGGCAATGACAGATTAGATTTATTTGTTACTCGAATGTTAACGTCTTGATTTTTTAACTTTGTGATGAATGATTACAGTTATCCTCAATTGTAGATTTTTATTTTTGAAACTATGATGTGCCCCAACGCCATCCATACTGTAGCTGAGTATGTACAATATATACCATGATAAATAACATAGACGAAATATGAGCGGTCGTTGATTGACTGGCGCCGATTAGCTCCTTATTTTTATACATGGTAAGCCGAGTAGCAGCCATTTAGGCAGCTGACCTTTAAACGTGCGAACTGTTGTCAAGTTCATCAGGAGCTTATATGACTTTTAAGGTTTTGTTCCCGAGGATGAGGTGAATTTTTTTTTGAATTTCGGGAAATTGACCAGGAGCAGAAGAAGCAGTTTCTAGTTGTGCCTCGTCTGGGGCCTTGAGTTTACCGTTATTTATCATGGCGACGTGAACTTTATTAATTGTTCACCAGACTAATCACCTTGAATTCTGAATTCATATGGAAATCTTGACATTATTTCTTGCAAAACTTCAAATTCGATTTGCAAAGCTATTTGCATCCAATATATGTCGCACTGTTTGGGGCTGATTTGGTTAGAAAAGTTTGTGTTGTTAATGTCTGATGGTCAAATTCTTCTATTGAAATGCCATATGATTACCTTCGAAATTTTAGTTGGAATATCGAAAGCGAATAAACTATTCTGATATTGATGACTTGGTTGGCGCTAGTAACCAACAAATAAGTAATGCAAGTCGCGTGAAAATTGCGAACCGGATTTTGTGCAAGCGGATTCTCGATATAAAATGAGCAGCGTTCTCTTAAAATCTTGTCTGGGATTTTTACATGGAACTTATGATGTTTTTGTGGGTAAATTTTTGACGTCTCGGCGTCAGCCTCCGAAGAATGGAAACCTACCACTGTTGTCCGGTGTATTCCTTATAATGAGTTTATTAATTAATAGGTTCCTCATAATCAATGTTGTGCATGAAAATTTAATTAATCATGTACGTGGAAATTAATCGTAATACCTAGAGTTTCAATGCTCATTGCTCACTATATATTTTGAGACGCATGCAAACGACTATAGGAAAATTTGCTGCTATATAGATTCGTAAATGTCCATGTAATAGTTGTCGCAAAAATTCGAGTCACTGAGAGTTGTGACACAAGCGTCGATATTGCAGTCTTCATAAAATGTCTTTTAATCTTAGATGCTAAGGACGAAATTCACATGTGGGACGAAGGCTCGACTATTGCGCATGCCATTCTATATAAAGCTTCCTTATTCGATCGAGTCTCGTCATGTACGCAGATACGGACTGTGTATTCGTTGTCGAAAGGCATTGCTGGCTGCAGTCGTGCAGGATTTGGTTTTTAGAGCTTTAAATTCCATCCATTGAAAAGATTGAGGTAAGTACCAATCAGCGATTTCAGCCTATAGCAGTTTACGCGGTTAATTCAGTGACAGTAAATGGCCCTTTCGTAGATGAGATTTTTCGTGTCTCATCATGTATAGTAAAATGATACATATAATATTCTAGTATAATATTAGTTACATGAACTTTTTATATTATTGTATTCAATTTTACGGAAGCATCCGTTAAACTTGCGAATTTCTTACCCCTGCTGGAGAAGGAATGAAACCTGGAACTTAAACCCTGACTTTATAGTGGAATCATTCAGCTGCACAGGGAAGCCATGGTATTAGCTGCGCTGCCCGTTCCTCATCGTCTTAGCACACCTTCCATGCCGGTGGCATTTGAATACGCCTGCCATAGATAAATTTCTCAAACATTTAAAGCATTCAGATCTCGCAACGATCTTGCCTCAACCGTGGACACTCAGCCAGCATTTTGTCTGTTTCTTAATGCATGTAGAGGGCGGAGGTAAGGGGAGAAACACTCTCTTTGAATGACAAAGTAGTGGCTGGAGTGTTTTTGACGTTATCAGTAGTACGCGAGTATTTAGCTGTTTTTATTTATTTAACCAGGTATTTAAAAATTTAACCAGTTTCTGCTCATCCCTGCCAGTATATAAGGAACGATCCGCTCAAGTCAGCTCATGGGAAGAAGTATGTCGAGGCCTACATAGGATGTCTACTTCTCGTCTTGCCCGTCCGTAAATGTCATTCAGATTATATGTTATGCATTTTATACAATTGCCTCTCAATCGATATTCTTTTGAATATTGGAATGATGCTCGGCTCTCGAAAGTAGGTAGTGAACCTAGTTTACTCGCTGTGTAGGGTATGGTAGAGAGCCTAGTATACTCGCTGTGTAGGGTATGGTAGTGAGCCTAGTATACTAGCTGTGTAGGGTATGGTAGTGGTGAACCTAGTATACTAGATGTGTAGGGTATGGTAGTTTACCGAGTATACTCCTGTGACTGATCATAACGACGGATTACGGTGAGATGAGCTCTGAATGATAATATTCCATGCAAATTTTACGTAGATAAAAGATAAAGAAAGTAAAAAAAATTACTTGTTAAACGTTCATTACATTACAAATTAAATTGATCCACTCCTCTCCTGCAGGCTTCCACATGACCCCGAAGTTGTCGAAGGTGTTCCCCGAGTCGTGTATGCTCATCGTGCTGGGGGTGATAATCGGGCTGCTGCTGTTCTACACCCACGCGGCGTCCGTCTCACCGCTCACCGCTGATGTCTTCTTCATCTACATGCTGCCGCCCATCATCCTCGATGCGGGGTATTTCATGCCCAACAGGCTCTTCTTCGACCATCTCGGCACCATCCTGGTCTTTGCTGTCATCGGCACCATCTGGAATGCTTTGACTATTGGTAACTTGCAATTTTGTTGTATATATTTATTCTTCTCGTTTATTCTACTTTGCATACCTGCAATTTAATATTTTACCTACCAAAAAGTATAAATCAACCAAAAATCTCAAAATTTCTCCGAAATGTTTGAAGTACCAAGGACTGAGTGCATTACTGAGTTCCCTCGAAATTTCTTAAGACGTCAAAGTCAAGTGCAGAACTCTACATGGACAAACCATGATCATGTGTCAATTTTTATTTTCTGATGTTAAAAGTGATCAATTAATATTGATGCATTAATTTTAATAAATGCTGGAGGTTTTTTTATTAAATAGAGGTTTCAATTTACTAATTTTGTTTAACGCGGTGTGCACCGCATTGTAATGAGTAATTTAAGGCGACTATTGCTTAAAAAGTTGGTTAATGTTTAAAGCTTTGAATGGAATGCTCATCGTCACCAGGTCAGACTTGTTAAACAAATGTAGTATTTTGCCACTGTCGTGCTGCACTTGCCTCTTATTATGGCTGTTGTATTTTCCACATGATTTTGCACAAGATGTTCCTTATTTCGGCCTTATAATCCGCTGTTGATATCCCACAGCTCGACACCATATTAGTTTAATCTGCATTGTTTCCCCAAAACAAATTTAAATTTAGTTCCGATATTTGGTATTCGTTTTCGCTATGTTGACTTCATTTTCTCCGACTCAGGAATTTCGCTGTACGCCCTGAACCTGACGGGGCTGTTCCCCATGGAGATCCCCCTGCTGCACATGCTGCTCTTCTCGTCCCTCATCTCCGCCGTGGACCCCGTCGCTGTGCTCGCCGTCTTTGAGGAGATACACGTCGAGGAGCTGCTCTTCATCCTTGTCTTCGGCGAGTCGCTCCTCAACGACGGCATCACTGTGGTGAGAATTCTTCAGTAATTATACAACTATGGCGTCATCTTTTGCTCTATGTCACTGTGTTGAAAACTCTTCATTAATTAAACAATTATGGTGACACCTCTTAATTGTTTTATGTCACTGTGGGCAGAACTCTTTGGTATGGTATGGTCACATCTTTACCTAATTGCTTTTTATTACTATGGTAAGGGGAAGTGGTGATCATTAACATTGTAAAATTTGTAGAAAACTTAAACATGTTGGAGGGCTTTCTATAGACCATACCACAACCCCGATGTCCCCACAGGTGCTGTACCACATGTTCGAGGGCTTTATATAGTCCCTACCACAACTTATGTCCCCACAGGTGCTGTACCACATGTTCGAGGGCTTTATATAGTCCCTACCACAACCGATGTCCCCACAGGTGCTGTACCACATGTTCGAGGGCTTCTCGCACCTTGGTCAGGAGAACCTCATCCTGCAGGACTACTTCGCCGCCATCGCCTCGTTCCTGCTGGTCGCCCTGGGGGGCACCGCCGTCGGCATTGTATGGGGCTTCCTCACCGCCTTCGTCACGAGGTCAGCTCGTCATGAGACATCATTGCCATTATAGTTTATTTGTGATATTCATATCCAAATTAGCTGCAACACTCGTGTATCATGAAGTCGTGTATCTCCATCTTGAATTGGACCTTCGAAACACATAAATGAAATAATCTAATCCAACTGGTCCTAAAGTATTAGAATTTATAGAATATTATTTTGATGGCAGGAAAAGATAGATTTTGTAATATGCTTCTTAAGGAGTTGAATATTTAAGAAGTCACGATTTGCGTGTAGGTTCACAAAAGGCGTGCGTGTCATCGAGCCTGTCTTCATCTTCGTTATGAGCTACCTGGCTTATCTCAACGCTGAAATCTTCCATCTCTCTGGTATCCTCTCGTAAGTTTATTATTATTTAATCCTAAATGTGGATAATTCTTGTGATTGTGGAAGAAGGCAATACGGTCTTTGGTTGTTGGGCATTGAAAAACTTATAGTCTCGGGGGTCTGTACTATGCACGTTTGATACTGATGAATGTATTTTATAAGTCAATTGATTGCACGAATCTATTAGTTTATCATCAGAAAGAAGCGTTTCGGTAGATACTTTCAACAAAGGCGTACTGTTATGTTTCAACCAAGATTCAATATCTATAGTTTACGAGTTCGCTCCTAATAAACGACTTTGTTAAGAAATATATTCAAATAAAGTTTTGATATGAAAACATTTCGTGCAGCATCACTTTCTGCGGCATTGCAATGAAGAATTACACGACACGGAATATCTCGAGCAAGTCGCAGACCACCGTCAAGTACGCCATGAAGATGATGGCCCAGTGCTCCGAGACCATCATCTTCATGTTCCTCGGGGTGTCCACTGTCCATGACGACCACGCCTGGGACACCGCCTTCGTCGGCCTCACCATACTTTTCTGCTCCGTCTACAGGGTCATCGGTACGTGCTTGATGCCTTTCATTCCGTGCTGAGAAATGTAAATTCCATTCTGTGCGTGCATTCAACTTTGTTTTAACATTCGACCTTCCATACCGTGCGTGTATACTGCCTTCCATACCGTGCGTCCTAATTTCAAGCGCGTGGGCAAATTATCTGACTTTTTGATAAAAAATTATTGCTGGAATAAGAAAACTGAATACATTATTTGCTTTATCATTGTATTAGCCGTGTCTTATATAGGGCCATCTGTATACTGTTGTGTGCGACCATGAATAATGCATCACTTAAAATCATTGCACTGACGATCTTTATAAATAAATAATATTCACGCCATCACCCGACCGCGCTGTTCTTTCTATCTCTTCACACATTGCCTCGTGAATCTACTTGAGAACAAGTCCTCTATTCACTATTCAAGTCGCAACCTGCAACACGAAAGACAGTTCAGCTCGTGGCGCACATTGCACAAGTTAAACAGACTTCGTTAAATCTTGTATCATGCGTACATTGTTTACTAATACCAGTAACTGGGCGCACGTTTACGGTATATATGTTCACGAATTTTTACCCTGCCGTGAATGAGGAACAAGTCTAACACAATGACTTGGCAAAGAAAAAAGAAAAAATGGAAAGGTACGCTGTTCACGCTGGACATTAGGAACAGGGAATTTCAGTTGGATAAACCTTACAGAATCTTGAAACGTTCAAATTATTATACTACCTATATTTTATTGCTTCTTTATAACACAGAAGGAATTAAGTACTATATTATTATTACAGTATTTTACGATAATTACATTGTACTACGTCGATTGCCTGTATCGAACAAATAGTATTGATAATTTAGTAATGATTATCGGAGGCTGTGAATCCCGCCCGAACTCACTTCTGATTTAACTGAGTATCCTGAAGAAGGATTATAAATAAATATCCTTGCTATACTTAATAAAATTAATATTTTCAGGAACATTGATTCTGTGCGAGCTATGCAACATCTTCAGGATCCAGAAAATTGACTTCGTGCAAAAGTTTGTAATTTCGTACGGTGGTATCAGAGGCGCCGTGGCGTTCGCTCTTGTATTGACCATCGACAAGGAAGCCATACCAGCACAACCAATGTTTGTTACTGCTACCATCGCTGTCGTCTACTTCACCGTGTTTGTGCAGGTGCGTGTTGCTACTTCACCGTGTTTGTGCAGGTGCGTGTTGCTACGTCACCGTGTTTGTGCAGGTGCGTGTTGCTACTGCTTGTGAGGGTAGGGCTTGTGAGGGTAGGGCTTGTGAGGGTAGGGCTTGTGAGGGTAGGGCTTGTGAGGGTAGGGCTTGTTAGGGTAGGGGTTTCGATTTCTTTCCCTTCTTTGCTCCTAGTTGAAGATAAATTTTAGTCCAACCATCAACTTGGTCCAGTAGGAACGTCCAAGTGAAGCTTCACGTTTAAAAAATTTGAAGTGGTGTCATGGAAAAATAATATGAATGTTGTCTTTTTAAACCCAGATGTCGTTATGACTTTTAAATTCAATATGTGTTTAATAAGCGAAATTTGCACAGCTGCTTGGTTTAACAAATTGTTTTGGGCTAACGATTATTCCGGTTATTACCGATAAATCTTAATCAAATAGGTAGTCTCTATGCCATTCTTAAATATTATTATTAATTACTTCAAATGAGAGCTAGGTAACTCTAAAGAATTTGTTGTCTGGGTGCAGACGATAGACTACCTCATGGCTGGCATTGAGGACATCATGGGCATGGCTGGCAACTACTACGTCAGAGATAAGTACGTTATAACTACTATCGTATCTATGTGTTGAATTCTTTACTTCCACTTAAATTCTGTACTTAAAGTACGTTATAACTTCTATCGTATCTATGTGTTGAATTCTTTACTTCCACTTAAATTCTGTCCTTAAAGAATCAATAAAACCAAAGGGTTGCTAACACATAAACGAAAGTTGCAATTAAGTTGTTCAGAAATTGCTTGGTTTTTGCTCACGAACATTTTTTTTATTTAAGTAAGACACTTGAAATTTCTTCAGATTCAAGAGGTTCAACACTAAGTACTTGGAGCCGTGCCTGGTTCGTGAGGCGGAAAGTTCTGAGCCAAAGTTGCTGGAGACGTTAAAGAACATCAAAATGGAAGAAGCCATGCAGTACATGAAGAACCAAGGACATCCGCCTGAGCAGATCGAGTCGTTCGCCGCCCTCTACCGTACCGCTCAGATGGCCCACGTCGGACAGCCTAAGGAGGGAGGGTATGTGGTGCTCAACTGGAACGATGAACATTAACCATCGCTTAGAAAGAGAAAATGAAAGAATTTTTGGAGTTGACTATTTAAAATTTTGAACTCCTTCACTTTAATATCGTCTACTTCATTACACTTGCCTCTTTCCATCCTTACAGTGGGTTTGAAAACTCATGGAATTTGGACGTTGGAGAGTTGGATTACAACCCTACTGATCGGGACATCAGCGCGGCTCACTTCCATCACATGCTGTCTGATGAGTACAAGCCCATCAAGAAAAGGGTGAGTATTGCACTAATTCTTGTGTGTGTTAATGTCAAGAAGCTGATACGAGTATTACGTCTCATTTGGATGCCCCTTAGTTATGAGACAACTACTCGAACTATACTACCACGATCGCGAACTCGAACACTCAATTTTCAGTAACTATTGTAACTGTTTCCTGATTTCAATTGTTTCTATTTATGTGATATAATTTTGCTCATCCAGATAAAATAATGGATGTATTTTTTTCGCAATTAGTATGTGTGGTATTGGGTCGAGTATTTTTATTACGTCTAATGAGTTGTCACCATCTTGTGCGTGCAGCGTGGGACGTACAAGCGGCACGCCGTTACCGACGAGGAGCTCGCCCAGGAAGTCCCTCATATCGCCCCTCGGGAGATGCAGAGGAAGCCTAACCTCAACCACCACAGATACCACCTCCGCAAGTTCAAGGTTTGTATCAATGCTATAATACACAACCACGACCAGCACAGGTACAGTTGCGGGGGCTGGTTCCCGACAGTCACCATCGAAGTCGTCGGTAAAAACTTTTCTTAGACGCGCTGTACTCGGGGGTCTAGGCGCTGGGGCTGGTTCCCGGCATACACCACCGTTGTCGTCGAGATGTACATACGAACAATGAGATGAGAAAAAACAGGGCTCTTTCCTGCTCATTGGGCTCATTGACAGGGGTTCATTGACAGGGCTCATTGACAGGGCTCGTTCCTGCTAACCCAACAAAAAGTAACAGAAATAGGCATGTTTCAAAGTCTCCTGGAACCAAATACTAAACATTGCGAGACCTGGAGAACCGATGCCAGTGCTGACATCACGATGGCCAAGGTCTTCACCTCAGCTCCAGCAGTACGGGACTGATAGATGCTGCGAACAGGCTTTAGGTAAACTGCGAGTAATGCGCTGTAGAAAAAGAAAGTACGCCTGAGATTCGTAGAATCTCGGGCTACTACATTACCACCTCCGCAAGTTAAAGATTTGTATCAAAATATAATGTAAAAGTCATAGTATTTAAGCATCGGAATTTTATTAAGAAATTGACGAAAATTTGCTTTGAAATATTATGAAAATTTCAAGTCACTCGCTCGTCCGGAAGACAATCGGAAACTCGTTAGTTTAGCGTTCGTTTAGCACCTCTTGCACGTAAGTATGACTCAATTCGCGATCGGTAGAAAATTCATTCTTAAGTATTAAAAAAGCAACAAATGCAAGGACGGTCCTGAGGTTTGGAAAATAGTTTACCGAGTTTCCTGTATTTCTTATGAAATAAAATAAATCCCTTCGGTTTGCGATCATTAAACGGAACAGATTTTGGCTAAGATCCGAGGTACTAGTGATCAATTTTTCTTTTGTAATTCTCAGCATCCTCTCTTAACATAAAATTACTACAGACAGATTTTCCAAAATTTTTGATGTTCTGGTCTGATTTGATGTCCTGGTCTGATTTGATGTTCTGGTCTGATTTGATGTTCTGGTCTGATTTGATGTTCTGGTCTGATTTGATGTTCTGGTCTCATTTGATGTTCTGGTCTGATTTGATGTTATGTTACCAGGAGGGCTTGAACGGCAAGGCTGGAGTCCCGGTACAGAAGCTCAACGGTACGGCCATCAAACTGCAGCACGGTCAGTGGGGGAAATGTTCTTACCAGTTCAGATGTTCATGTTCGGTTATCTGGGTATCCGTTCAATGGTATAAAATAAAGGCGGTCGTTTCTTTTATACTTTTAGACCAGGAATTGAAGTTTGTTGGTTGATTATTAATTTATGCATTTTTTAGTTTCATACCTTGAGCTTGCATTCATTATTTAGTTCACTGCTATAAATAAAGTTGCTCTTAAGTAATTATTATTGCTGCTATTGTTGATTATTTATTTTAGAAATAATTGTAATTATTATTCGATCCTATCTGCTAATGTTATATCATATCAATATACTAGTTGATAAATAATATAGCTAATGAAATCATTATTAGCAATTACATTAATATCTTACCGAACTTTACGTGAAAATTACACCGGTATTTTATGTAATAACTTATACAACTGGAATAATAAATTTACTTAGAGACTACAGAAATGAGCTTGTATTCCTTTCTTGAGCCTAATTTTTTAATATTAGTCAAATATTATTCAGATCCATCGCCCCAGGTGAATGGATTAATTTGAACGAAGGCGCTTATACCACCGTTTTTACTCTGAGCACTTGCTGTTGCATCACAATTAGTCATAAATTATCACAGTTCTAGTAAAAATTTTTTTAAATGGTTTCAAACTGTAGTTTTCACTCTTGTAATTCACAGTAAATTAGCATCGAAACCAAGTTACTTGCACTATCGTTGAAGCTCACTGTAGTTACGCATGTCCACGCACCAGTTTGTTGTGCATGACTCATTACCTCCTTGATACACCTATTACCTCCTTGACGCACCTATGACCTCCTTGACGCACCTATGACCTCCTCGTTCCACTAATGACCTGCACGACGCACCTACCACCTCCAGATTACCTGGCCGAGGGCATGAGAGACAATCCTGCCTTCCAGCCCGACGACACCGACCCTCCGTCCTATAATGGAGTCCGGCCAAGTCAGTGTACTATGTTGCAGTACCAGGCAGGCCCCAATATTGAGATATTAGTGGCAAATGCAGTGTTAGGGTCTCAGTGTACAATGCTGCAGTATCAGGCCACAATATTGAGATATTCGCGGCGAATGCAGTGTTGAGTTCTCAGTGTACAATGCTGCAGTATCAGACCTCATTATTGAGATATTATTGACAAATGCAGTGTTAGGGTCTCAGTGTACAATGCTGTAGTATCAGACCTCATTGTTGAGATTGTATTGCAGTGTTAGGGTCTCAGTGTACAATGCTGCAGTATCAGACCTCATTGTTGAGATTGTATTGGCAAATGCAGTGTTAGGGTCTCAGTGTACAATGCTGCAGTATCAGGCCACAATATTGAGATATTCGTGGCAAATGCAGTGTTGGCTTTTCAGTGTACAATACTGCAGTGCATGAGGCAGCGAACATGTAGCAGTGCATCGTACTGCAGTATCAGAGGCTAATGACAGTGGCAAAGACCCTTTTTACTATACAGAAATTTTCATGGCTTATTGTAACGCTCATGAGCATTTTCGTAATGGCGTGTATTTACATGCAATGAAATTACAAAGAAATCCACGAAAGAAGCAGCCGATGAAGCATGCTATTTGTAATTTTTGTCAGTGCTATACATTCAAAAACGTCCAGATTGTTGTTAAATTCCCAATATAGACTTTGTAGTTCCGGCAGCAGCAGTTATCTAAATAAAAACTGTATGCTCTGAAGTTGCTATGTGATATTTGTGTGGTGTTTTGCATGCAGGACGAGTGTATATATAACGCCCTCGACGCTTTGGCTGCTTTGATCTCCAATAGCCAGTTTATTTCCATATTTTGATGATGGGGAACACTGTCCTGAACTACAGTCCCAAAAATATTTTTGAGATTTCATACTGGGCATTGATGCTTTTTTAAGTAAATATATATTTACTTTGATCTTATTCACTCACGTAGGAACTGCTTACGCGAATGAGAAGTCAATGCAGCTCACGCGCTCGTCTCTTGCTAGAGTTTAAATGTTAGTTTGCTTAACCCCTTGCCTACTATTATATTTACCATCGTCTGCTATTTGTACCTAATGGCTTGGGAACGTGAGGTTCCGTCAGCTCACAAAGGGTTAAAGTTATAAAGCGATATTTTAAAATATTACTTACGATAATTTACCTGCGATTCTAATATAGCAATTTATCTAATTTTTTTTATTTATTTTCTTTTTCCGGTTCCTTGATATTTTTGGCGTCTTCGTGGACTTTCTTTTTGACATCAAATGAAACTTCTTACATCACCTCGTTGTCAACTGCAACCCTAATGTCAACTGCAACCCTAATGTCAACTGCGACCCAAATGTGAACTCCAACCCTAATGTGAACTACAACCCTAATGTGAACTCCAACCCTAATGTGAACTGCAACCCTAATGTGAACTACAACCCTAATGTGAACCCCAACCCTAATGTGAACCCCAACCCTAATGTGAACATGTGAACTACAACCTTCAATTATCGTCGACTGCGTGAAAATTTCGACTTCAACGTCATTTATGAAACTTTGCTCAAGTTTTGGCGCTTTCCGAACGAAATTCTGCGTGCATGTCTGTTCTTGGTCTCGACCTGACGACCTGCTGCTTGCCTGTCCTTGAGATGTGGTGTGTGCTGCTGTGATGTTGCAATGTACTGTGTATTGCTGTGATGTTGCAATGTACTGTGTGTTGCTATGATGTTGCAATGTACTATGTGTTGCTGTGATGTTATGTATTGTGTGACGTCAACTGAACGAATGTTGCACATCACGGCGAGTGACGCTGCAGTGGCGGGCAAGGAATATAAGAGGATGTCAGTGAAGGGTCCGGTGCTGGCCGAGACGACGCTGCCTTGGAAGCGCGACTTTATAGGTAAATGGAACATATACGTGATGGGGCCACGACCCTGCAGACTTACAGTATTTTACATGCGTGCCTACAAAATATTATATCCTTGGTAGGCTTGCAAAATAAATTTTCCTCCATGTTTGTTTGAAAGAAAATTATGGTTATTGATGTAACTGGAAAAACCGTAGTCCACGTCAGGTGTACAAGTCTCGAGTAGTGGCAAGGTTTTGCAAAGGTTAGTAATCAGCATAAACACCTTGCATGAATTTAGCTCGGCAGTCTTGCAGCATGGAGGTGGGAAAGTTTTGCCGTGTTGTAGTGTTGTTGTAGAGCTACCACCTACAAGGCACAATTGTAATTGTTATTCTCTCGTACTTTACTGTTTCTGCATACCTTAAAGTCCGTAAACTTAGTAAGCAGCTCTGGTAAATCCTGGCTTTCTTCTATAAATGTTTCGTTTTTAACGCAATATTTTTTTTGAGTTTCTGCACATTCTTCTGTAGAGATTAGTTTTCTTTGATAACTATTTTACTTCAGTTCCCCGTTTAACTCGAAAAAATTTCTTTTTAGTGGATCCTCCGACGCGCGGCCTTCAGGTTCAGCGCCGCACTAGCATCGACAACAGTGAGTTCCAACATTATAATAAATTGAGGAATACCGCAATTAAAATTAATTTTTTTCTCAATTTTTAACACTATGATGCAATACAAGTTATATTCAAAAGTAATGAAGGATGTGAAGGATGTCCTAGCAAACTGCAAAAGAAAACTTGGATATGTTCAACGAACTGCACTCTAGAGCAATGCGAATATTCATGAAATACATGATACAAATTGGGTTATCCTACATTCAGGAGTTTAACTGTCATTGATACGTAGATGAATAAGCAAGTGGAAAATTGCCTGTTATGTATAACTGATAAATTTTTTATTAGACGAAGTATTTCTTTGCGGCGATTTCTCCTTCTTATTTAATATATGAATTTCTAATAAATTTCATGCAAGGAGGCAGACGTCACAAAAACCATGCCGATGATGCCAGTTAGCATCATTTATTTATAATGGCGTCACGAGACGAAGCGAGAACTGAATATCTTAAGAGGCACATCTGAATTCATTCATGTTAACTCGTTGGAAAAAAGAGATCTCTTTTGAATTTTTTAAATGAATGAAATAGTTTCATTGAAGGGTGCATGACTTGTACATTCACAAAATGTGGAACCAATTTTTATTATTTATTCAAATTAATATGATGATTTACATTTGAGCCAAGAATTATGTATGCTTCATAAAAAAAAACTCATAATTTATTAGTTTCGCTATGCTGGAAAAACAATGGGTCCGTTTTTCTGTTCCCGATGCTTTATTGCCGATGTAAAGATATTCACACATTACAAAACATCGAGCTTAAATAGAAGAATTAAATCTCAACACTTCTACAAGATGCAACTTGTTATTTTTTAGTGCTCTAATTTATGGCTAAAATTTATTAGCTAAACTTTATATCGCGGGCAGACAACGAGCACACGCCCACCATGGCTGAGATTCTGCTGCCATGGAAACGCGCGCACGACGACGCCGTGGACGGCGAGCCGCGTCACGCCGAGCACCCGCTGTGGGCCAACAACGAGCACTACGTCTACACTGACTCGCCCACTCAAACTTTTCTCCGTACGTAACTAACTACCTACCTTATCTCCGTACGTACTTATATCCGTACGTAACTAACTACCTTACTTTTCTCCGTACGTAACTAACTACCTTACTTTTCTCCGTACGCAACTAACTACCTTACTTTTCTCCGTACGTAACTAACTACCTTACTTATCTCCGTACGTAACTAACTACCTTACTCACCTCCGTGCGTATCTACATATACCTTGCTGATCTCCGTACGTAACTACCTACCTTATTTACCTCGATCCGTACTTATCTCTTTACGTACCTACCTTCGTCCGTACTTATCTCTGTACGTACCTACGCTGTACGTGGGTGGAGTTGCTGAAACGTGACCTTTTTCATAGGTGATCATAAATTTGAATTGTATAATGACCATATGTAGGAATAATTGGCCTGCTATCTACTACCTACAAGATTAGAAAGATGATGATGTTGTGGCCAGCGAAATTCATATCTTCAGAGTTAAGTGTGAACGGCTGCTATAAGTTTACAGAAATTTCAAGAAGAGAACACGATTCACTGATAATATAAAATGACATTAATCATTCATCATTAAATCATTAAATGATATCATTAAATCATTGAATGATATCATTAAATAATTAAATGACATCATTCATCATTAAATGACATTAATCAATTGTTTTGATGCTGCAGACAAGATAACAATTATCCTAATGCTGCAGATAAGATGATAATTGTCCTGATGCTACAGACACGATAACCATGATCCTGATGCTGCAGACATGATAGGTGACCCGACGAAGCCGTCCGTGCACGACGTGTTCCACAGACGCAACAGTCAGTCGTCGCTCTTCAGCATCGACGAGACCGGCGATGATGGACCGGACTTTGCCAACCCTTACGTCGGGCGCCGCAACAGCGTCCACAACAGTCCTGTGCGCGAGCCCGGTGAGACATTAACGCGTGTTCGGTGAGACATTAACGTGTGTCCGGTGAGACATTAACGTGTGTCCGGTGAGACATTAACGTGTGTCCGGTGAGACATTAACGTGTGTTCGGTGAGACATTAACGTGTGTTCGGTGAGACACTGCCACGTGTTTGGTGAGACATTAACGTGTGTTCGGTGAGACATTAACATGTGTTCGGTGAGATATTAAGGTGTGTTCGGTGAGACACTACCACGTGTTCGTTGAAACATTAACGTGTGTTCGGTGAGACATTAACGTGTGTTCGGTGAGACATTAACGTGTGTTCGGTGAGACACTACCACGTGTTCGTTGAAACATTAACGTGTGTTCGGTGAGACATTAACGTGTGTTCGGTGAGACACTACCACGTATTCCATGACACATTACCACGTGTTCGCTGGGACACTACCACGTGTCCGGTGAGACACTGTCGCGTGTCCGGTGAGACACTGCCGCGTGTTCGCTGAGACACTATACATAACACACATAAAATATACCCCATGAGGTCGTCTTTTGTTAGGCCATGTTGGCCTTTAGCCAATTCTTTATCACCCGGCCCCCTTACCGATTTTGTCCAGAAATTTCACAGCTAGTTGAGGTGCTCGAACCCCCACTTGCAGCTCAGATCTCGGACGCTGCTCGGTCTTGACAGATCTCGTAAGCTCGGCAACCCCGAGCTCACGAAACATAAACGAACCATTACCCTTGTTCGTTCCCACTTAACGCTTATAATAATATATCAGACGAAATTATTAATTGGGTTCGATTAACTTTATCGATTAACAATGTATGATATTTAAATAATTAATCAGCGATGGTTTAATCACTCAAAAGATTGAGTTGATTACGCATACAGGTTTTATTTGCTCTGTATAGCAGAGATTCACACCTGTCGCGGAACGAGCTGTTTCTTCCAAATGCTTTCCCTTGATTTCATTACGAGCACATATTAGCTGGTCACAAGAAGCATAATAAGAATAGGAATCTCTCTTCAACACAACAACACGAGACTCGTTCTGTTCTTTGTCTCCCGGCAATGACTCTATTTTAACGACCTTTCGACATGCATAGAGCATTCATTATTGTTAATTTATTCATTCACTCGTAAATCTTTTAGCTTCTTCTCTAGTACCACTAACAACAGGGAATTTTTAACAAAAATATACGCAACATATTTTGAATGGACAGGACGGAGGCGCGCGTCGGCGTCAGACTCGCGGAGGTCGTCGCTAAAGGAGGACAACTTCTACCGCAGCGCCCTGACGGAGGCCACACGCCGCAACCTCCTGCAGAAGGAGGGCAATGCTGCCGCCAGTGACCCCGCCAGCAGAAGGAGCGCCAGCTTCGATAAGTCCCTGGTTAGACAACTTGCTTGTATCACTCAGAATAATGAATGGATCATATTGTTCAAACAGCGACACACTTCTTTACCTACGAGCGGAGAGCGGGCGTAGCCCTGATAGGCAGTTTCGCCTGGGCAAGCTGGTTCAAGATGACCAACGCAAAAGCAGAAGTGCATTGCCTTTCATTTCCATTAATGTAATTTTTAGATATTATTGATAAATTAGGAACGGAACTCTAAAGTTCAAAATATTGACCTGCAACAATTTTTGCAGGTCAATATTAATAACTCCTGAGATGGTCTAGAAATTTAGGAAATGAATATTGCAATGTAACTTGGAGAAATGTTAACGGGAAGCTGTAATGAATATCGCGAGTTGTAAACAGTTAAATGTGAGGTCATTAACAGCATGACTTGGTCTATTTCAAACTTATAAAATTAAGGCATGTTACGTTTGCAACTTTTTATTTTGATTTATTTTATGCTATACTCCATTAATGTACCGTTTGCAGGAACCTGGAGCGAGTAGCGGTTCCCTGCTGAACACGGCCATCAAGGAGGAGGATCTCTCCAGATCCTCGACGACGCCGACGCCTTCTCGTCCCGAGGAACACGTCATCAACATGGAGAAATACGACAGAAGCAAGCCTAAGTCACCACATGGCGACGAGACACAGTTTTAATTAGCTTCAAAACTTGACTTCGAGGTCACGGTGGAACGGAAAGGTTCGCGTACACTCAAACAAATAAAGGAGCCATATGGTCCAAATAGTTCCTCATTTTTTTAACCACCGCACAAGTTGAGAGCGGACGTAGCACAGATGCGCCTTTTTCTGAACCAAAATGTCAGGACAACCAAGACAAGGGCAAAAATTGCATCGCTATTTGGACAAAGTCTCATTCATTTCCTGAGTGTATGACGTGTGAACATGAGTGGCATCCGTCCAACTTTTGAGACACCTTCCTACTTAGGCTAAAAAGACAAGTGTAAGAACATCCAAGTTATAATACTGCATAATAGTAATTATATAAAACAATGCCAATAGTATACAATACAATGGTAATTATATAATACAATACCTACAATAAAGTTATATACCAGTAATGCCTCGACATACACTCGGCGGATTATTCTCACAAAGCTGTAATGATGTAAATATGTGCCTAACTTTTGAAAATCTTGCCACTGTATCAGGGGAATGAACGGGAGTTTTAAATTGATTGCACATTTTACAAATAGGATTATGTGAAGGCATTTCAAGGTTAAATATTAATGTATTTCCGTGGAAGGTTCTTAAATTGTATTGTAGATTTATATGTGAACTTTTAAATTTATTTTTACATTTATCCTGACAAGATAGAGTTTTTATGAACTTAGCTTCTATCAGGACCTATAAGTGTCTGTCGCGGCACAAAATTTAGATGAAGAGCGCCTGGAGAACTTGAATTAAAATTTTGTGATATCTCCCCATGAACCATACGTGCAGAAATATTATGTTACGTCAACGTTACGTGAAGCACAACCTGAGGCCATTCTTGCTTAAGTGATAGCTAATAATTAGAATATAATTAAGTCTTACAAGGAATTTCGTTGAAAGGAAAATAGTTATACGTTTATGAAAGCTTACTGCGCATTTGAAGCTCTAATGCCTCTATTGCATAAGCCTTGAGTCGTGATGGTTTATCAGGTGAACGAGTGCCTTTACATAGTCATTATGAAAGATTACTTGTTGGTAACCTAGCACTTACTTAGTCAACCAACTTTATTGGTGGTTTTTAAATAATATGAAATGGAGACCATTTATTATTGAAATTATGGCAATCGGTGATGATTTGTGGCCGCTTTTTAGACACACGAGTAGCGATAGCGTATCAGATAAAATTATCTCGGTGATGCAGCACGAATTGGCCGTTAGTCCACTCATTGTTGTAAAAGTAATGAGCCTAACTCCATTTAATGAGGAAAAAGCACTCTAGGGCTGGAGGCTTGAGTCACACATCTCATACTGCCGGCGACAGCATGTACATATGAAATACTTGTAAATAGATTCGAGTCATCGGCTGAATAAGAAAAGAATTTATTTTCTGACCAATGAATTTACTGTTATAAATTAGGCATAGCTATTGCAGCTCACTTCTCATTAGCTTAGTTATTAACTACATTCCTGATTGTATAGTTTGTTAGTTGCAACTCTGCCATGTTCACAAATATCTCGCGTTTTCAATTGTTTATAAGCGACCAGGTGAGCTGGTGAATCAAATAAGGCAATATATACCTGATGTTACCTTAGTGCAGTGGATTTAACTTCTTTTGGTTCAAACAATGTATTTGATATACTAGGTAGACCGGTTACCATTGTGCGTATTTCATTGAATTTGAATAGCTGATGAATTCTATGTTGTGCCAGTCGTCGCCAGAATATTCACAAGCATAACTAAGTCATTCCTAAAACTGATATCAATTAATGAAATAAGATTGTCACGATTTACAAAGAAACCTCTATACATTCGTCGGTTGTAACAAATGCTTGAAGACGGTTTAAAAAGTGATTTTAAGTGAAGTATTTTGTCTTATTAAATTCCACATTTAGACGACGAATCAATTGTTGTCTGTACGCATGCATCAGATTAAAGACGAGATACAGTCAGGACGAGGTGCTGTCCTTGTTGGTGGCAAACGTCCCGGGCATCGGGATGGTCAGGACGAGGTGCAGTTCTTGTTTTTAGTGGCAAACGTTCAGACAAGTCAGGTCAGGTCAGGACAAGTACTGCGCTAAGTTGACTACGCAGACGACGCTGTTGTTGCAATGGCTGTTGAGCGTCGGTGCGGTTACAGGCTTACCTCCTCCTGCAACATGGTCGTGAAGCTAGCTGGACATGTATAGGCATGGAAATAAATATCGTCGAATGTAATATTTTAAATATGTACTTAATGGGAAGAATGAATTTATTTAACACGTCGAACATATGTTTTTTTTGAAAGTTAATGCTATTTTAAACACTAGATCTTGACTTTTAATGAGATGCATAACCTGTGAGTTAAGGATGTGCAGCTATGCAACCGAGCGTGCGTGGTAGCTACCGTACCGGTACATAAGTTAAAAATAAAATATTTAATTTCTTCAATCAATCATATCGTTAAAATGATATAATAGTGTGAATTTGTCGAACTATAAATGGTCTAGTGCACTCGTTACGATGCCTTCGTTCCATATCCGATTTCAGTTTTGTAATGAATAACTGCAATAGCACGTGAGGGGTGCGAGAAACATTTTAAGTTAGATACTTAAGATAAAAATGAATGATTATAAATTGATTTCTTGTTGGTTTTAGCAACTGTTCCTGAGCACAAAATGTCCGATAGGCGTTAATAGATGAGTTAGCGATGACAGATTGTTTTATTCACCATCTCTACTTCTTTCTACATTCACCTACTTCTTTTTCTGAAATTAATATTTTTCATGATGCTTTACGCTTGCCAGTGAAAATAAAATCAATTAAATAAAAGAATGCTGAACCTAAAACTCGCATGAGAAAGTAACCTCGTGTTAAAAATTTCCCAGCTACTTGCCGGTGAGAAATTCTCGAGTTTATGTTCAACTTCCGGCACCTCTTGACAATTTAGCCTCCTTGCAGGCTCGTTTTGAATGGCTGCTTGTCTCGTCAAAAGTGAACGGTATGCCGGAAACTTTTTTCCCGAATGGTTAAGCTGATGAAACTAAAGTACTAGACAAAAAGGATAATATTTTGATAAAAATTATTTACCGTGATTGATTTTCTCAAAGTGCAAATTGAGGTTGTGGAAACTTATGGATCTCCATTTAAGCGTCGCTACTGATAGGCATCTTTGTCATTTTCGAAATTGCACGGAATCAATGGCGTAAATCTTCTTTGATTTGAGAGTTTAAATCTCCCGAGTCCACATTTGCATTAGCCCTTGAAACCATGAGCTTCCCGATAGATGTTTCCATAACACTCCTCGGCTCCCACGCAACAAATTCTCGTCTAAATCTCTAGTGCAAAATTCCGAGTCTTTTTTAGTCCACCAGCCACCAGAGGCAAGTTTAAACTTCTCTTCTAGTCTTGCGTTTTCTGTAGCTAAATCTCGTTAATTATTTTATGACTCAAACTTTATACGTGAATATTTCAGGAAAGCTGGGGCGCTCAAAAATGCGCGCTATAAAACGGAACTTTGGTCCTGCCGTAAAAACCGCTTCATTTGAAAAACGGCACCAGAATTCTGCCATCCAATGATAATATAGAGAAAAATATGACAATTCCTTTAGCTGGCGCTTTTGTTTTCATTATTGGAGAAATGGAGGGCGATGCTCTGGATGAGCTCAATGGGCGCTGCGGAGATTATATGCTCAGGATGAGGCAGCGGGTTTATTTCATTCAAGACGGAGGGAGGGGAGTCAGTGTCGGAGGGCTTAACGTACGTGGATTATTCAGTTAACATCAATTATTAACAAGATATTCTGGACGACCAGCAATGTGCAAATATACCAAGGACAGTAAACTGTGCGTGCGAAAATACTGTCGGTTAACTGTAATATGCAAAAATACGGCCAGTAAACTGTATGTAATATGCAAAAATACTGTCAGTAAACTGTATTATGCAAAAATACGGTCAATACACTGTAATATGCAAAAATACTGTCAGTAAACTGTAATATGCGAAAATACTGTCAGTAAACTGTAATATGCGAAAATGCTACTTCAAAATATGAGAAAACTAAAATTTTTATGTAATGCGTCTCCAGCTAGACAAGTCTTTGCTTGGCAAATGACTTGTGCCCGTCGGTGCGACGCGGCAGGAATGGCAATGTAAGTGCGACACATTCTGGTGCTAGCATTCCATTCTAGTGAAGGTCTGCGATCCTAGCGCGCGTTTTCTAGTGAGTGTATACTATTCTGGTGAGTGTATGCTATTTCAATGAGTGTCTGCTATTCGCTGATTGGATCCCATTCTGGCGATTGTATCCTATTCTGGTGAGGTTATCCTATTCTGGAAAGTGCATCCTATTCTGGTCAGTGTATGCTATTCCAATAAGTGTCTGCTATTCCGGTGAGAGTATTCTATTCTAGTGAAGGTCTGCCATGTTAGTGAGTATTATATAGTAGGTTGCCAACTTCCTACTTGCATTTAGGCCATGAATATTAATCTCGTCTAGCTCTGTCGTGTCGTCTCGTCTATTTATGGTACGTTGGAGTTTTTCAGCTAATGTATAGCATTGCAGGCTGATGGAGGTGCCGCCTTTAGATACAAAGGAAAAGAAGAAATAGAGGTATAACAGTGATGCGAAATATCCAAACAAAAATTCCAGTTGTGCTCAGGCTGGGAGATATATTATCTGCTTACCAGAGGCCTGTAAATAAAATATTTAAAAAGTTTTCAGCTGCTTGATCACGACAGGCGTCTAGTTCCCAGTTAGTGGTTTTGACTCCGCGCGCCAGGGTAAGACGTTGAGTGCGATACTGGCAGGATCATATTTTATTTAATACTTTAAAATTCGTGAACAAAATGATGGTTTTTCCGTATTCAGGTGTTTATTTATGATTTTTATTGCTAGATCGCCTAATTACTTTTTAATTGTCACCTTTTTAACGAACTCTAGCTCTTTCTTTGGACACCCGATTGGTCTTTTTCTGCATACAGTTTATCTGGAAATATTTTCAATTTATCAATTGTCGTGCGCATTTGGTATACTGTCCAGCCTTTTACAAATAGCGTCCGGTCATTGGTTGACTTGGCACGGATGTTGATACAATTTTTATAAGTGATGCGGCCAGTCATTGAAACATCTTAGGTCGATTTGTTACGGTGAATGTATATTATTCTAATGATGCATTCTATTCAAGCGACGTGTGCTATTCTTATGATGTATCCTAATGAGGGTGGAATTCTAGGAGTATTGGTTTAATTTATATATTCAAGATCAATATAGCCTTGTTACTTGAGCAGAGACAAAATATTGGTTAAAAATAAGGAAAAAATTTAGTTTAAATAAGTTAGACCAATATATGTGAACTTATTCATATATTACCACTCCTAAATTACACAATGTATGCCAGCCACGCCTAGAGTGTTGTGGCTGAATTTCTTCACAGTGCTTGGAAACACTCATCAGTTGTGGCACTACGTTCTCTTCACATGGAGGAACTCAATTACATCTTGATATTTTGATCAAGATTCTTAATTATTACTGGGGCAGTTGTGTGAACTTCAGAATATTTCGCCTACAAGTTTGGCCTACAACTTTTTAAGCAAAAATAATTTACTGCACTGTAAATTTGGCAGCACAGCAGCCTCGCTACGCAATGTACTGATGATGGACTCTAAATTTACTCAAGAAACAAACAATGTACTTGCAATTTGCATGGTGACAACGAGAAAAAATATCATTCCATCACTGCACATGAATCTTGTGATTGTTGAACAGTTAATGAAGGAATTAAGCACTCAAAATAAGGTATTAAGTAATTTCAGATAAATGTTGCCAAATCTATTTGAGCCCAAACTCAGCGTTTCAGGACATAACAGCTTTGTTTTTTGAGAGCAGAATCAGCTTAAAGGTCAGGTGCATGATGAGTCGTGCTTCAAAAATCTACTATAAAACTTAATTGGTATTGCACAGAATATGAGTTCGCATCGTTTTCAAGACAATAAGTTTAGATTTTGTGCTGAAGCAGAACAATGGGAAAGGCTCATGCGGGACTATAAGTTCGCGCAACCAGGGTCCAAATCTGGAGAGGCGTATCGGTGCTGCGAGACCGGCATTATTTTCCGTTAAAGGAGACGCGTGCGCCGCTAAGAGGATTTACTCGCTTTCTTGATTGCGTCTTTGGTTGGAAAAAAATCCTTTGCTGCCCAACTAGTCTTGCTGGAGAGATTCCCTTGTCTCTTGCCGCCCAACTAGTCTTGCTAGAGGGAAGATCCTTGTCTCATGCTGTGGACCTTGTTCTGTTGTGCTGCTGGACTCGCCCTCGTCCGCGTGTTTTTACCTTTATAACAACTTTGAACTGCAGATAAAGCATGTTCGAAAATGAAAAATAATATTTTTACCCCAAGAAGTAACGTGAAATTAAATCTGGTATTGTCATTCACATATATTGAATTTCTTATAACGAAAGCATGAATTATTTCTGATCAGACACTTTGATATTGGCGGTATTTTGATTTTTTCATAGACTAGTAATAGAAAATTATATAATTAATATAAATCAATTAAACTAGATACAACTGTTATAGGATCATCTAAATCAATTAAAAGCGGCAGAGCTGCACGAACGTGGGCAATAAAACAAAATATGCGACGAATGTCAGCGAGAGTTCACGTCAGTAACAATAGCACGTAGAAAATATAGATGAAATAATAATTCTCTTCCCCAGAATACCCTCTGGATCCGAAATGGCCGTTGTTCCTCGACGAGCTTCAGTGAAATGAATAAGATTTCCTTCGATGGATTTCATCCGAAAAAAATGCATTTTTTTTTCTGGAGTTGTCATGTCATTGAGTACACGGTCAGGCTTGAAGCTGACATATAGTATGAAATGATGACAATTTTTGAAAAGCTTTCACTGATTTAAAATTTATTCGGTTATTATTTATAAGAATATTATAAATAATAATAAAATAATAATAATATAATAATATTATTAATAATATAAATAAATAATATAAATAATAATAACCCTCACAAAACTTCGTTCATATCGCTAATTTGAGCCAAGTGTGCGAGCACGGAATTACCGTTTCATGGAGTTTGATTGACCGTCGATATATAAATTTCGATTTTAATTCTTTACTCTGATTTGACACAGATAAGAAACCACGGACCGCTTTAAATCGCATGAGTTGCATATTATCGCATATTTATTTTAGGTTCCGAAGTCTGTTTTTCGTTACTTAGGCCTCAATCTCTTTCATGTAAATTTTTAATCTCTCGGTTGATTGTACTTGTGATCTCAAAAATTTTTGAACTGATGACGTTGCTCGTCTTCGAAACGTTTTCAACGAAGATATTGCGAATGTATTTGCTGTTTCTATGCTAAATTTCTTTGCATTTAAATTCTTTTTGAACTTTTTAGCACTTTTTAGCATTTTTAGTTATACAATTACTTGCATAAAATAGCATCGAGGCCGTGCACTGACAGGACGCATGAATTATTTGTCAGTTTTTCTGTCAAATTTGGACACCCAAAAGTAAAGTTTTCTGTATTTATTGGGATTATACGAACCATAAATAAGTAATTTCAGAAAATTATGCATTCTAAGCACAAATCTTATGGGGCATAATTCCTAATTCTAGTGTTAAATGCAAGATGTCTTTTATTTAAATTACTAATAAAGTTTAGTGTTATGCAGCGGGCACTGAAAAATCGAGA